GCACGGGGTCCGGGGAGGCGCGCTGCTGGGCGAGGAGGGGCACCTGCTTCGTGTCCAGTGTCCCTGCCTCTGACGCGCTTTCCTTGGAAAGCCGGTCCGGTCCAGGGTCTCGGGGCAGCGTTTGGGAGAACCACGTCCATTAAGGAGTCCTCTGGACCACAGCCCCCATTATCGAGCAGCCGCTTACTGCTGCCTTCCCGTGGTCTAAGGCGCTTCTTTGATTTTTGCAATTCTCTGTGCAATTTTTGAATTTTTGGAGGGATACTTTCCAAAACTTCGATGAGCTATTTGTTGATAGAGTCAGTGAGGTCATAGAAATGGAAAAGAAACCTAAGGGTAACATTGCATGTCTTTGCCTGTACGGACGTTGTAATCATAGGTCAGGAACATTTGTCCTTGGATCGCAAGTGTGCAGAAGCCGAACTGGGAGCTGGGGAAGGAGGCTGTTCTGCAGGCTGTGCGGGGCTGCCCTGGGATAACATGATACTGGACTGTGGAACAGTGACATTCGCATGGCTTGCATATGTTGGCAGCGCTCATTATTTGAGAGCTTTGCTGAAAGATCTTTAGGTCAGATGAGAATAATAGGAGAGTCAGAAAAGCAGAAAGAGGCAGCACTTAGCTGGTTTCAGATCTTCCTGCTCCGTCTCTTTCCATCTGAGAGCGGCTGGCCCTGTAGCCACAGGTGTGCTGTTTGGGACCAGCAAGGGGCAGGTGTTGGAGGACCTGGCTTCTAGGCAGAGCTCTGCCCCTGGGTGGGGCAGGACCTGGGCAGGACCTGTACTTCTGTTGCCTCAGCTGCAGACTAAGGAGCTCAAGAGATTTCAAGATGGGGAATAAAGTCGTCTTTGATTTTTAGCCCAGCCTCAAGAGTGGCCCTTGGCATTCTGTAGGTGGTCAGGCAGTGCTCGGTGAGTGATGGAATGACATCGTGAGAGAGATGCCTGCCATGCCACACTGGGGAAACCTGGCAATGTTTTTGTCCTTCATCATGTCAGTGGTCCTGCTATAATTTTGCCCAGTTCCACCTGCAGGAAATTCTGACATCAAAGGAGAGATGACCCTCTGACCCAGAGAACGACTGCTCCCAGGCCTCACTCAGCAATCAGGTTAGGAATCTCAATCCAAAAGTGCCACCAAAAAACTCCTCAGAAGCAACCTTGGGTCGTCATGACCCGCCTCTCTCTTTTGAGTGGCCCACAAGGACTTAAACCACCTTATCAATGGCTTTAAGAGAGCCTAGACCCACCAGGAGTGGATTCCCTGAATTCCAGGTTTCTTCTCCCATTTACATAGGTTTAAGGTATTTCTCAACTAGAGGCTTGCCCTGGCAAACAGTATGATGCAGGAGTGGGATTAACAATGGCTGTGAAACTTCCCAGAGAGTATCTTCAGGCTCTGAAACCACCTTTGTCATCGTCTTGAGGTGCCCTCCAAGGGGCTGGTGAGTGAGAGCTGCTCTCCACACAGCCCCACCCTGCAGTTCACTTCATTCCAGTCTGTTGTTGTGGGTTGCAGAGGCCGGGTTCTGCCCCTTCCTCTTGCGTTTGTCCGGGCTGGAGCTTCTTTCCTTGTCTGCTTCCACATTTGCATTTCCTTCCACCAGTTGGTTAGGCTTGAAGATTTCAGGGTGAAGACAGGGTGGAAGATGCATCTGAGTGTGGGTACCTGGAGGATGACGATAAATCTGGTTGGCAGTTGAGATGAAGTCATTGAGCTCCAGTGTCTGCTCTTGGAAGTGTAGAACTCACTACTCTATTGTTGTTATTATTCTGTTTCTTATTCTGATGTTGTAAAGGTCAGTGGAGAGGTTCTGAAAGACTCCTGTTGGTTTGGGCTTGACATTGCAGAGCATCTTGCTGGAGATAGGCTTTTTCATTGGTTATAAAACATTCAGGTTAACTCTTTGTAAATATTATAATAAATTTTGTGAATCAACTGTTTATAAATATTTCTCTTTGGGGTTAATGAGGAAACTCCAATCAGCAGCCTGGGTGACAGCACAAAATTGCAGGATTTTTCACAAAACATTTACTGTCTTTCCAGTAGAGGGAGGGGGTTCTTAAAAGAGAGAAGTCAAGACTTTGTCTAAGAGCCAGGATTGCTTGGTGAGGGTCTTAGGGGAGGAGCCTCGGACTTGCTCACTCCCTTGTGCCCATAAGCGGCATTCAGAGCTCCTGAGGATCAGCGGCCATCCCGGAGTGGCGTCGACGTGAGGTGGGAGCCTCGCTCCGGCAGGAGCTGCAGCACCTGCTGCTGACAGATGGACTCGGCTCCCGGACGAGCGTTACTGAAAACATGGGTTATCCCCCTCCTCCTCAGTACCCGCTCTCCACCTTCCTTCTCCTGTTTGGGCTAATCTTTAAAAGTGATGTAACTTAAAACAGTCCAGTGTGAGTTCATCTTTGGGGCCAGCTAGTATCCTGGGAGTAGAGGTGACTAAGATCTTTTGCCTACAGATTAGCGTGATGACAAGATCAAAGGCTGGGGTTTCCTGCACCAGGTACGGGGAGCGGTGTCAGAGCTGGCTAACGGAACGGGTTTTCCCCTCTCCAGGTGTTGTGGAGCACCATGTCTGAGCAGCTCCTTCCTCAGGCTCTGTATCTGAGCAATATGCGGAAAGCTGTGAAGATCAGAGAGAGGACTCCAGACGATATTTTCAAACCTACTAATGGAATCATTCATCATTTTAAGTCCATGCACCGATACACCCTGGAAATGTTCAGAACTTGCCAGTTTTGTCCACAATTTCGGGAGATCATCCACAAAGCGCTCATCGACAGAAACATCCAGGCCTCCCTGGAAAGCCAGAAGAAGCTCAACTGGTGTCGAGAAGTCAGGAAGCTTGTGGCGCTGAAAACAAACGGTAAGACGCGCTGTTGTCCGGGGGTGGCTCCTGGCACCAATGGGTGCTGGGGCCCATTCATTAAATTGTAATAGCACTTGCCCCAACTCCAATCACCTGATCCGTAGGCACCTTAGTATGGAAGCTCTACGGGGGATGTGACAAAAGCAAGCTTGCTTTGTGAATATTCTTATTAAGGACACTTTGTGGTTGTGTAGAGAGCAGAGCACACGGAGGCTTGGGGAAGGCATTTCTAAACACCTTGCCCCCCCATCCCTGTTAGGTGACTTATGTATCTAATTCTTGTGGCTGTTTAATCATCTCTGAAATACCGTTTCCTGGCCAGTAATGGAAATATTAAAAGGCTTTAAGTTCAAAAGGAAAGCATGGTGTGAAAACTGGTATTACTGTTGTCCCCACTGTCATTAGGAAATGCTTGTGGTGATGACCTTACCCTCGCTGAATGGATGGCATTTTATGGGTTAACCATGCATGGCTGTGGAGGGAGGGCACAAGGCCTCCCGTTGTCTGCTGCTCGAAACTCCTTACATTCTGCTGTCTGTGGTCCCGTGATATGACATAGAAAGATAGTTGGGATTTTAGCACAGGTGTCAGCCCTCATCGTTTTTAGGGCTTCCCAGCACTGCGTTTCTTGCTGTCTGTGTGTGTCTGCCCCTTGGCCCCTTTTTTACTAGTCTGTTTCCTGCTCCAAGCTCTACTGTTTTGTTTTTTAATTATTTCCTTTGAGCAAGAGTGTGTGCATCATAGAAACACCCAAGCGTGCTGTTTCATGCAGATACAGAATTCTGCATTATCATGTCGCTTATTAATGGAGTTATCACAAGAAGCAAGTCGACTGTCCACGATCAGTTAGATGATTATAGTCTGGGAGAGAGCAGGGAGCTCAGGTCCTCTAGCAGCGAGGGTCCTAACCCTTCCCGACCGAAATAACATATACATGCACAGAAAACCCTTGTTGACGATGAGTTGATAAGAACATTAACTCAGTTGGTGCGTTGACTTTGGCTGTTTCTGACTTGGGTAACTTGCAGTGATGGGGGCTTGTTTTTGCTTTGCCTCTCGGGGGTCTCATGCATCACCCCAACTTTTCACCTATATTTTCAAAGCACAGATTCTTAGAAACATCGGTCAGAGAAAAACTGGGGTGGCTAGTGTTTACACTGTTCTTGGCATTAAACCAGTTGATGCACAGAAGTAGGTAATTAGGTTAAGTCATCATCAAGAGGGTTATATTCCCGGCAGTCTGTGGTTTTAACTCTCTCCCATTTTCTTACAAAAAGAGATGGAGTCGACTCCAGGAGACTTGGAAACAAAGAGATTCTGCCAAATTAGAAATGTGGTAGAAAGAGGAAAACCTTCTTATCGTGAACAGAATTAACTGACGTTTTAGGTTCAACTTGCTCTATTTCCTTAAGAAAAAAATGGACATAAATAGTAAACACTTGTTTTGCAAAGATGTCATTTAAATCAACAAGGATTCACGCTACGGATAAAACTACAAAAGCCGTGCCTTTGATGACATTTTCTGGGAAATAGGGATTTTTAGGCTCAGAATCCTTTTATTTCTACGGTTTCAAGAAAATTCCTTAAAATTCTGGAAAAGGAAGAAAAGCTATTTGGGGGACGGGGGGAAACAAATGGCTTTTCCTCTCTGATTTTTATTAGCACCTTTTTTTTTTAAGCCCTCCCCCTAGGAGAGTTCGGCAGAGTCAGTGGCCTGTTTGGGGAGGGGGTGATTCACAAGTTTGCATTTGAGGATATGAGACTGCGGTGAATGAGGAAGGGAGTAGGTGGCATAAAATTGAAACTTCATGTGAAAAATTCCAGCGTTTATTGGCTGCTGCGATTTCACTTGTCTAATGAGTGGCCTATTCCAGCTCGCCCTGACCACACCCACTTGGAAAGTCCAGGGTGCACTTTGCAGTTTAAATGTCTACACACCAGAACAAAAAGTACAATAGCTCTTGCTCAATGGCTAGTCAAATAACTGAGCACTGGGGAATTCCAGATGTTGCTTAGGGAATTTTGTTCTGGTGCATCTCAGTCAAGCGCTGAAAGTAAGCAGAAGCAGAAGAAAAGCCTTATCTCTGCTCTAGATTTTGCAAAGGGGAAATTTCAACAGAACGCAGTCATTGCCACACGGGCTTGGGCCATCTTTATTGTTCATTCGTGTGGATGCTTATTTAGCCAGTTTTTCTAAGTGTGTAAATTGAAGGCATACTGTCTGCGGATATGTATTTGAGGGGTTTTCTTTGTTGTTTTGGTTTTTTTTTTTTTACAGTTTGACTATAATTAAGACGATCACATTTCAAATAGCTTTGATTGCCCTACTTACAGAGTAATGTAAGAAAACAGTTGAACTTTCCTTTATAAAAACAGGTGTGCACCTGCCAAAGCAGATTAGGCATTAACTTTTTTGTATTAAACATTCCCCCAAAATGTTTATTGTTTGGAGGTTGGAAAAGATGCAGTCTCTTGAATTGTGGATTTTAACCTGTGAAAGTAACAAATTGATAGAATAAAATTAGACCTATCTTTTTCTCGAAATGCTCAAAATTCTTAAAATGCTAGCCCTAAACATTGAATTGTTTTCCAGTGTAGACACCCAGGCACTCCTTAACTTTTGAAAAGGACTCTGCAGCTGCCAACCAGCAGGTTCACACGAGGCATTTCTGGGGGGTGGGGGCAGGTGGGGGCAGGTAATTGGCAGCTCCTACTCCCGCCTCACAAACCGGGAGAGGACACTCCCAGGCCCCAGCCGTATACCACTGAGTCACAGCCAGACTGTCCCTGTCCAGCGAACGAGCCAAGCCGGCCTCCTGGTCTGTACCTGTTGCCCTGTGTGGTCTCCTAGTCAGAGTCTGTGCAGAGTCTTGGCCAGAACATGGAGGAGCGATGGCAGGGACGGCCTTCAGAGATCACAATCCGATGCCCTCATTTCACAACGAGGAGGAATCCTCAGAGAGGTTAAGGAATGTCCCCCAAGGCCACAAAACTAGTCAGGGCAGAGCCAGGCTGGAGCCAGGGTCCCCTCAGTGTCAGGCCCTGGCTCTCCTGCTCTGTTGCTATCAGTCATTGAAATTAAGAGTAGAAGGGTGATTTTTTCCTTAAAGCTATCATCACCTTGTGGACTGTTACCAGTTAGCCCTCGACTAAGAAATTCGCCATTTGCATCCCTCGCCTGCCCTGCTGGGCCTGTGAGAGCAGGGCTGGTTTATTCTGAGCCTCTCCCAGGCCTTGACTTTGCTCCTCTGTCCTCAGGTGATGGAAACTGCCTCATGCACGCTGCCTCTCAGTACATGTGGGGTGTTCAGGACACAGACCTGGTCCTGAGGAAGGCGCTCTTCAGCACCCTCAAGGAGACGGACACGCGCAACTTCAAATTCCGCTGGCAGCTGGAGTCCCTGAAATCTCAGGAATTTGTGGAAACGGGGCTTTGCTATGACACGCGGGTATGTTTTCTTTCCCCGTTAAACATCCGTTGACCGGGCTCCATGGGGGACGAGGGTCCATTAGGCCGGCCCCTACTCTCAGGAGCAAGGATGGACTAGGTGCTGGGAACCCGTGAAGCATAGTCGAGGGAAAACATGGAAACCTCCTGCAGCGTGAGCCCGAGGCTCCCGTGGGAGCCAGGAGGGCAGCGCGGGCGCAGCTCCCAGTTGTGGTCTGTCCCCGTAGCCTGGTCACTCTGACCGAGGCCCTCCATGCCCGTTCTGCTGGTTCCTCCGTCTGAGTGTCCTCTGGGTGTTTCCTGAGCCGGCCAGTCACACTCAGGCATGGGCCTCCCCGTCCTTGGTCACTCGCTGGGGATTTCTGTGCTCGTGTGGATGAGGGGCTTCGGGGTCGCGCCCCGTTGGGTTTTCTGAGAGCAGTGCTGTCCCTGTCCTCCCCGGTTTCTGAGTTCGCGTGGTGGTGGAAAAAGTAAAGGAAAAAAACCAAAAAGGGGACAAAAGGGTGATCATTCGAATGATGATTTCCAGAAAGGGGAAGAGTCAGCTGGGTTGTATGAATGAATAATTACAGGTGAGGTCAGAATGATTTCTGGTGCAGAGTCCCTTCCCTCATCTTTCTCTCCTCTCCCCTCAGAACTGGACCGATGAGTGGGACGGCCTCGTCAGAATGGCATCCGCAGACACCCCGGGGGCCCGCAGTGGCCTTCAGTACAGCTCCCTGGAAGAGATACACATATTTGTCCTCTGCAACATCCTCAGAAGGCCCATCATTGTCATTTCAGGTGAGAGGTCACTTTTGTATTTAAGTGCTTTTCAGCTTGAATGTTTTAAATCTTAGGAAAAACCCGCGCCACCCAAGTTACAGGCAGCAGTGGCCACATGGTATTTGGTGGAAGTCACCTGAGGGCCTTACTTTTCCTTTCTCTTTCCTTAAACAGACAAAATGCTGAGAAGTCTGGAGTCAGGTTCCAATTTTGCTCCTTTGAAGGTGGGCGGGATTTACTTGCCCCTCCACTGGCCGGCCCAGGAATGCTACCGATACCCCATCGTCCTCGGCTACGACAGCCACCACTTCGTACCCCTGGTCACCCTGAAGGACAGCGGGCCTGGTGAGAACGCCGACTGTCAGTTCACAGTGTAGCTGCCGGTGGTCGCCACCCACCCACCTGCTCTCCGGGACTCGGGGTTCCCTCTTGTCCTCCTCAATGAAATGGGCTCGTTGGGCCTGCCATTGCTAGGGAAACGCAGGGTTTTTCTCAAGCGTGGCCAGCAACAGTAAGGCAGTAGCGGTAATCGGGGCACACAGAGCCGTGACCCAGGGCGCTGTCTGGAGCAGCGAGTGTTGGGTGATAGCTTAGGGTGGAAAAGGCACTGTTAAGTGCTCTAGGGACATTGTTTTATTTCATTGATCCTCACAGCATCCCAGTGGGCTATAAGCATTGGCAGCCGCACTTTACAGGTGAGGCACTGGAAGCTCAGAGAGGTTAAACAACTTGCTGATGTCACAGAGCTTGATGGTGGCAAAGTCAGGATTCGAACTCAAGTCCATCTGATCCTGAAGTTTGGGGCTTTAGCCAGTAAGATCCACTGCCTCCAGGCAGCTTAGCATTCCATGAGCTTCCTGGAAACTGCCTTCTATTAGAGTCAGTGCGGTTTGTTTCCACGATTGAGCCTGTAGCCAGCTAGTACTTCTCCACCCTGTAATTGTGCCCTTCTTCGTTTGTGCAGTTCCCTCGTTATCCGTCGGTGCCCTCACACAGATTTCATGTGGGAGAATCATACTTTGCTTATGTGTTATTTTTCCCTCAGAAATCCGAGCTGTTCCACTTGTTAACAGAGAGCGAGGAAGATTTGAAGACTTAAAAGTTCACTTCTTGACGGATCCTGAAAATGAGATGAAGGAAAAGCTCTTGAAAGAATATCTGATGGTGATAGAAATCCCGGTGCAGGGCTGGGACCACGGCACCACCCACCTGATTAATGCTGCCAAGTAAGGGTTTATTCTCAGGTCCACCTTTGTCGTCTTAACTGTTTCCTCTTCAGCCACATGAGCTGCCCCTGCCCCAGAGCTCGACAGTGGGCTTGGTTGGAGCCAGTTTCCTCCGATGGGAAACAAATCGAGAGGCTCTCGAGCAGGGCAAGGAGGGTCACGTCAGGCAGTGCTGATTGTGGTTTCAGGGGGAGCCAGTCCTGGATCCGCAGTGATTTTCCTGTCTGTCTGGAGGCTCAGACTCGGAATTAAAAGTGTTTTTGCATCAAGGATAGTTGTTTTTGTTTAATTGCCCTGGTATTAGACCAGCAAGTGAAAATTCTTGGAAACAAAAGCCTTTTTCTCCTGGCTTCTTGGTGAGGACAGGCGGACAGACACGTCAGACATGGACTGGGTTGCAGAATGTGTTTATGTGGCAGCCGCACGGTTTTGCCACGTGGAAAGGGGAGGAGAGACTCAAGTACCTGTTGCACAGGTATCCAAGTTGTAGACGCCGGCCTTATGATGACGAGACGCCTGTTTCTCAGAACTTGAAATGTGAGAGAGGTGACCTCGAAGGCGTCAGGGAATCGGCTTCTAGAGTAGAGATTAACAAATTACGGAGTCAGAAGTAAATAGTGCCTCTGGGTGTGTCTGCCTCTGAGTTCCTGTTACCTCTGATAGAGACGAGGCACAAGTTTAAAAGTAATGACAGGAAAATACACCGCACAGTCTAAAGTAGGTTAATCCCAGGTGAATACCATGAGTGATGTTTTACTAGGAATTTGGTCTCTGAGACATTTGAAAGTAAGTAACTTTTCAAAAGAGGAGACAGGAGTTCAGTGTAGAGGCAGCCCAGAGTAGCCCTTTCTTTAGAAATGTCTGTAGTTTTGGGGGGACCCAGACTGATGAGATGAGACTGTGACTCTCGGGAGGAGGCAGTCTTTGCAGCAGCGTTGGACCATGTCTTGGAGGTGCAGATGCTTTGTCATGGGCCTCGTCTCAGTGAGTGGTTATGAAGCTGTGGCCGTAATCAGATTCTGAAAGTTTGCTCAGTGAGCCAGTAGTGTAAAATCGTGTCTGTGTCTGTGTGTCTGTCCGTCTGTGTGTGTCTGTGTGTCGCCTGACATTTTTCCTCTTGGTCCTCAGGCTGGATGAAGCTAACTTACCAAAAGAAATCAATCTGGTGGATGATTACTTTGAACTGGTCCAGCACGAGTACAAGAAGTGGCAGGAGAGCAGCGAGCTTGGGCGGAGAGAGACTCGCGCCCAGAACCCTCTGGAGCCGTCCCTTCCCCAGCTTTCTCTCATGGACGTCAAATGCGAGACGCCCAACTGCCCCTTCTTCATGTCCGTGAACACCCAGCCCTTGTGCCACGAGTGCGCAGAGCGGCGGCAGAGGAGCCAGAACAAATCCCCGAAGCTGAGCTCCAAGCCGGGCCCCGAGGCGCTCCCCGGTGTGGCGCTCGGGCCCTCTCGCGGGGAGGCCTGTGAGCCCCCAGCCTGGAGCCCCGAGGAGCCAGCTGGGGGTCCCCACTCAGCCCCGCCCACGGCACCCAGCCTGTTCCTGTTCAGTGAGACCACCGCAATGAAGTGCAGGAGCCCCGGCTGCCCCTTCACTCTGAACGTGCAGCATAACGGGCTCTGTGAGCGTTGCCACAACGCGCGGCAGCTCAGCGTGGGCCGCCCCTCGGACGGCACAAGGCACGTGGACCCCGGCCGGTGCCGTGCCTGCCTCCAGGACGTCACCAGGACGTTTAACGGGATCTGCAGCACCTGCTTCAAAAGGACTACGGCAGAGCCGCCCTCGGACCTGGGTGCCAGCGTCCCTCCCTCTTGTCACCAGCGGTCCAAGTCGGACCCCTCGCAGCTCATCCAGAGTCTCTCCCCGCACTCTTGCCGCAGGGCTGGGAACGAGGCCCCCTCTGGCTGCCTATCTCAGGCTGCCCGGCCCCAGGGGGACAGGACGGCGACGAGCAAGTGCAGGAAGGCTGGCTGCGTGTACTTTGGGACTCCAGAAAATAAGGGCTTTTGCACGCTGTGCTTTATCGAGTACAAAGAAAACAAACGTGAGTGAAATGATTGGTTTTCTAACCCGTGTTTCCTAAGCCTGCCTAGAAGGGGTTTGTTCCTGAACCTCAAACACGGAGCCCCTCTAGGCAGTGGGGTAGAGGGTGGCTGGCACAGAGGGATGGTCACAGTGGCTCTGCCAGTCCCACACGGAAGCAAAAGGCAAAGATTCTGTGTTCCAAATCCCAGAGTGCCCCATGGGCAGAGTTCCTGGCATCCGCTTCCGTAAGGCCGGTCAGTGTTGCGTTTATAAGGTCGAGTTCAGACTAGACTTTTTTGAAACTTTGTTATAAAAGAGAAAACTCAAAATCTGAGGAGCAGTAGCTGGAGAGAGGGGCACCTCCACTGACACTGTGAGCAAACACGGGGATTTTAGAAATCTCTGATTCTGGAGGAGGGCAGTTCACGTCTGTCCCGTTGCGGTGACCCACAGTGCAGGACATCCAGAAATGAGAGATTTGTAAAGTCGAAGATGTCTCAGTATTAGCATTATTATTGTGTTTGTTTTGCTGAGTTTGTGACAGGCTGCTCCCGTGTACACTGAAGCCCGCCTGGTCTGTATTTGGACCTGTCCCTTTCCCTAAAGTCAGCGTCTGTCTGCTTGGTGACCCATGTGGGGTTCTGATCAACATCAACTCTCTTTTAGACTTTGTCGCCGCCTCAGGGAGAGCCAGCCCCACAGCCTCCAGGTTCCAGAACGCCGTCCCCTGCCTGGGGAGGGAGTGTGGCACCCTCGGAAGCACCGTATTTGAGGGATACTGTCAGAAGTGCTTCATTGAAGCTCAGAATCAGAGATTTCACGAAGCCAAGAGGACTGAGGAGCAGCTGGTGAGACACTCGGAGGTATTTCCCCTCCTTGGGCTGGGTCTCCCTGCTGGAGCGGTTCCTTCCCACTGCAGTAAGCAGACTTTCCTGCCTGCCGAGGTCCAGGGAGGGAGTGGGGAAAGCCACTGTGGCCCCCGGGCTGCAAGTGCAGCAGCTGCCGTTAGTTTTGATGGCCTGAGTATGCTTTAGAATCCATTTTGAAAAGCGAATAAAATCAGCCACAGAATAAAACCTTTTAATGCCTCCAAAAGCCAGACGGCGACCAGAGATTCTTAGATTTGTACTCCTACGGCCAGCTCGCACAGCCAGCTCCGTGGCCAGCAGCTTCTCTTAAACAGTCTTGTATCAGGAGGAAACACGAGGAGGCAGAGTGGCGGGCGCGTCCCCTGAGTGGTGTTTGGAAAAGCAAGTGTGGACTGGTAGATGCCCCCCATTGTCCACAGACGTCGGGGAACCTGTCCACACAGGGCAGTTTTACTAATCCCCACGGAAGCGGGCTGGGCGGCTCCCCTCGGCTCCCCGGGCCAGGTCTGCTCCCTGGGGTCGGGGGCAGCACCCCTGGGAACCTCCCGTTCATGGACTGCACGTGGGACTCCCGGTCCCCCGGTCAGGCAGAGCTCCCTGTGGGCCCCGCCGTGACGTGAGACGCATGAGTGACAGTTCTCTCTGCTCTTTCCACCCAGAGGTCGAGCCAGCGCAGAGACGGGCCTCGGGCCCCCCAGAGCAACGCCAGGCCCAAGTGCGCCCGGGCCTCCTGCAAAAACATCCTGGCCTGCCGCGGCGAGGAGCTGTGCATGGAGTGCCAGCACCTTGGCCAGCATGCGCTGGGCGCCCACCGAGCGGAGCCCGCTCCCGAGGAGCCCGCCACACAGCGCTGCCGGGCCCCCGCCTGCGACCACTTCGGCAACGCCAAGTGTAATGGCTACTGCAACGAGTGCTTTCAGTTCAAACAGATGTACGGCTGACCGGCACGGGTGGGCCAGCCGGCCGAGGGGCCTCGAGCCGCCAGCCAGCACAGCGCTGTCCTCCAGACACCCATCCACGCAGGTCACTCCCTGCAGCGAGGGCTCCAGGGTGTCTCTGAGCAGAGGAGGAAAGACAGGGGAACATCCCCAAGTGGCCTTAGAGCGACGCTCGTGACTGGCAGCAGATGGTGTGGGGTCAGCCCGGGCTCCTCCCACCAGGCAGAAGACCAGGAACTTTGTGGGCTTAGAATGCATGCCGGACTGCTTGGTCATCTTTCGAGAAAAGGGCGAAGACCCCCAGTCAGGCGGGCTGGGAGACCAGAGCCCTTCCGCCTGCCCTCTGTCAGCCGTTCTCGGAGGCTGAAGCTGCATCTTCGGGGCCCACGGCCATCTGCGGGAAGCTCGGAAGCTCAGGGAAAGTGGACATATTCAGAGCGTCAGCAATTAATTGCTTCTCCCTCTCTGCCTCCTCCCTGTGCCATGGACACAGCACCAGCAGAGCCGTCCGCGGGCTGTCTTCTGAGGCTGCTGAGACTGAATACATTCACACTTAAAAGCAAACCAGCTGCTCTTAACAATATGCACCTTTTAGAAACCAGACTGTTTCTGTGGGGAGAGGTGTACCTCTTGGTTGTCACTGTCCCCACTGCTGAAGCAGTGGGCTTTAACTGAGGTGTGCGTAAAAATGTGTACGTGTATGATGTCCCTCCGGTTATGGATGAGGGAAGTTTTTATTATGTTGAAAGACTGCCCTAGAAGTTTAAAGAGGAGAATGAATAATAATAACCTATTTTCTGGTTGTTTGCACCCCTCGTACATACAGCTTGCATGAACTCGGCCAACTCTCCTGTTGTGTCTGTGTAATTCACTTTATTTATTTTATTGCAAACGTCAAAATTATTTAAATGAAAATATTTCTTCTGCTCTGGGAAAGACTCTGGCGTCTTCCTGAGAGAACCTCCTCGCCCTGGGTCATGCTCCTGACCGCGGTGGGGGCCGGCCTCTCCGATGCACTTTGATGCCTCCCTGGGGGACAAGGGACTGCGTCACAGTGAGCTCATAAAATCTCCTGCTCCCTCTCTCTGGGGCTGTGGCCAGAGCCACTTCCCAGTCACACTGTGGAGAGTGTTCTCCACAGAACGTAGATGCCTCTGAGTACCTACCTCCATAGAGATAAGATTGGGAGGGAGCAGGTCAAGGGAAGGACGTGGCCTTCAGTGATGCCGTGTCCCGCTGCGTCCTGGGGTGCTGGGCAGTGGCCTCTCGTCCAGCGACACCCTGGCACTGCGCGTGTGAGGAAATCTCTCTGTGTCCTTGGCCTTCGGTTTGTCCCTGCTTTGTGTTCCTGTCACACTTGTTCTAGCACAAAAAGGGGGAAACACGTCCCAGAGGTGAAGGCGGCCTGTGTTTGGTCTGGACGAGGGCCTGAGAGCAGCTGCCCTCTACAGCTCCGGGAAGCCCTTCCTTGTGGGCCGGACGTGTTTCCCCCTGGAGTCTTTCTCCCTGACGTCTCTCTGTAATTTCTAAAGATTTCAAATAAACTCCAGTGTTTTCTCTAGTTCTTTTAAAGTTAATATTTTAATATTTTGTGTGTATCAATATTTTCATTCTTAATGTGAAAAATGGAATTATTTATACTTATTATAGAAAGCGTTTGAAATTTGCACATTTAGTTGCCCTGAAACAGTTCTGTTTACTCTCTGTTGGTTTCTTCAAGTTTTCTTAAATAAGTTCAACTTCTCACAAAAGTCAATATTAAAAAATAAATTATTTAAGAACAAATTTCGATGTTTCCTATTTACAAATGATGAAAGAAAAAGGCCCGCATGTGAAGACCACGCCTCCCCAACAGCTTTATTTTGAGGTGCCTCTGGGCAGTAGGTGCGTCTTTCACCCTGGGGGTAGTCAGAGGACTCTGTACGTGAAGAGCTGCACGAGGGCCGGCGCCTGGTTAACAGCAGGGACACCGAGGCCCAGATGGGAGGGGGAGGCTCGCCAGTACCTGATCTGTGAGAGGCTGGTCCCTGTGCTGCCAAGGTTCCTGCCCTCAGCCCTGATGAAGTGCAGAAAGGGAAAATGAGGGAGAAGCTGAGAGAGGCAGGAAAGGAGAGATGAGAGGAAGGATTTCCCGGGTCAGACCTGGCTGTGCTGGCCCCTAGGACCCGCAGCGCCAGTGTCCTGGGAAATTATAAACTGACACATCCTCCCCCATGGTGCAGTTGTACCCACAGAGGGTTGACCCGGCAGGACTGCAGCTCTCGGAATCTGTTTCTTTTAAGCTCCCCGGGAAACTGGTCATCAGCCAGGTTTTAGAAACACTCTTTTAAAAAATTATAATCTCTCTTTAACTTATTGTGGCAAATTTCAACATACAGCAAAGTAGAGAAGAGCATGATGAACTCCCATATCCAACATTGTTTCAACAATTATCAACATTTTGCCAAATTTGTTTCGTCTATCACCCCTCTGTTTTTTTCTGGATTATTTCAAAGCAAATTCCAGATCTTGTGTCCTCACCCCCACAAATACATCAGTGCACATCTCTAATTGATAAGAATATGTTCTTTTTACATAACCACCACTATTATACCTAGCTAAATCATTTTTAATGCCATCCAATCCGAGTATGTATTGTAATTTCCCACATTGTCCTCCATATGGACAGAGCCCTGTAGCTTTTGATTGCTAACAAGGCTCTTTTGTTCTGTAACTTTCCCTTTTAATTTTTCATGCTATTGATTTGTCAGGGCGATTAGGTCACTTGTTCTGTAGAATAGCCCACATTCTGGATTTGGCTGATTGCTTCTTGTGGTGTCATTTAACTTGTTTTTCTCTACTTCTCGCTAGATTCTAGTTTATTTAGGCAAGAATCATTTGCAGGACTGTGCCCCATCGCCTCCCTCCTGTAGGAGCTATGTGAATGCCCACCCAGAGGACACACAGAGCCTCAAAGTGACCTCTTCTCTTTTTCTTCCTTCTTCCTCCGTCTCTCACCCAGCATGAAAAATGACAATGCTTCAATCAGCATGATGAACACAAGCATTTGACCATAAGTCATCAGGATTTCTAAAATAGGAAGTGACTTGTAATTAGCAAATTACCTCTGACTCAGAAGATGGCACCTAGACAGGGACACAGGGCCGGTTGGGAGGACAGCGAGGGGCCAGGTAGAGCAGGGTTCCAATCTGGAGCGGGGGGTGGGCCTCTGGGGGATGGGACCACGTAAAGCTCGTGTGCGATTTTACGTTGGAGTATGTACGTTATTTTTCTGAAGTATGGCCAATCAGTGGCTTTCTTCAGAGTCTCAGAGAAACTGATGACTTTCCAAAAATGCAGAGAGCCCAGGAATAAGAGGGCTGAACAAGGAGGGCTGTGCCTCGGCTTGCCTTCACTTCCCGGGCTGTGGGATGTCACCTTCATGTCACACAGGGGTGCAAGCCCACCTCATCCAAAACTGACCTCACCAGACCTCGTCCCTGCCCTCTTCCTTCCAGGCCCAGGGGAGGGCATCGTCATCTTCCTACTACCTCTAGATTTTTCCCCACCTCCCACATCCAGGCTCCCGTGAAGCATATCTTGAATCTGCCCCTTCCCTCCACCCTCTGCTGCTCAGCTGGGCTTCAGCCTCCACCTGTCTGTCAGCCTCTAGTCCCCTGTCTGGCTCCCTCTCCACTGTCCCCTGACTAGTTACCTGTGCTTGTAGACCTGGGCCTTGTGACACTCCCCTCTAGTTTAAACTCCCAGATGGCTCTCTGCTGCTCCCGAAGCTGGGTGCATCAACCAGGAGACGCAGGAGGAAAATGGGAACCCCTGAGTTCCTTTTGCTCACAGTTGATGAACAGATCACCACTGGAGTTCTCCCTTTGTCAGCATCAGGGGTCACTGTCACCGGAGCCGTCCTGAAGTGACCGTGAGTTGCTCAGCTCAGAGGGGGCAGCAGTGGCCCCACTCATCCACGTCCTGCATATTGAGTCAAATTACGTCTGACTTATCCCTGTTATAGGATTTCATTGCCAAAACCACTGTAGCTGTGGCACCTGTAAACTCGCTTGTCTGCACTCTTACACTTGAAACCAAATTTTCCAGTCTGTTTAAAAATTATCCAAATGAAGAGTTTCAGGAAGTTTTGAACCCATCTGTTGGAAATGTCCACATATCTCCACACCTTCCCAACTAACTGACATCAAAGAAGACTGGGATTTTCTAGCTGAGTTTCAAAAAAAACCTTTGCATAGTTGATAGCTGGAAACAAAACATAGTTAATCGTGAATAAGGAGGCACAGTGATTTTCTTCTTTCTGTCCATCGTCTACTTTTTTTCTGTCTTCTGTAGGTGTCTCTTCCAGCCCTGACAGTCACTAACATCAAGGATCACAATAAAGTGAACTTATAGCCAGACTTTGGAATAGCTTTATCACAAAGTGATAGAGGATGATTTTTTAAAAAATAATGAGCATAGTTATTAATTTTATTATTCCCCATTGAGAGCAAAAGGTGCTTTCGCCATTAATAAAAATAATTATTTTAAAATATTGCTTAATTCATCTTTATCTCAGTGTTTTAAAATTCCTATATTTTGTGATTTTTAATGTTTTATATAATAGTATATTTTAATTGATTTAAAATAATATATATTGTGAATGCATGCTCAAAAGTGTTTTTAAAGATGTCATGAGATGGAAAGTGTTTGGACTCCAGTTCCCAACATGCTATGCGATGCTCTCGATAATTGGAACCCTCTTAAGTGTCCATTCTTGTCCCCTGCCATGATATTATGTACATGTATCTATTTCATGGCCTCCTATGTTCTTCTAGACTCTCTAGAATAGGACACCTTTTTGGTCTCAGGACCACTTTATACCCTTAAAAACTATCAAGGACCCCAGAGAGCTTTTGTTTGTGTTATATCTATTTATATTTACCATTTTAGAAATTAAAACTAAAAAAAACTCAAAGCACAGAATATACAAGCAAACATTCCATTAGCTTCCAGAACCATGACATTGCTACACGTCACGGGGCTTCTG